CCCAAGGTATATGGTCTGACACAGTTACCTCGTACCTAATAGTCATGTTTGCTAAAGCTGCATGTCCATCAGCTGTACAGATACAGTGGTCCAGCCATGATGTACTATGCCAGGCTTCACTTATGTATGTATAGCTATCTGCAGGCAGTAACACTTTGGTAGACAAAAATTATATTAGATATTATATTAGAATTATCCTAATATAATATCTAATATAATTTTAATATAGTTCAACAAATAAAGTTCCAAACAAAATCTAGGTAAATTCATACTTTTTTTTTTTTTTTTTTACCATACTGATAAAGTTTATAGTTAAGGTTGGACCAGGTGACCCCAAATCCTCCCTTAGTTATGCTGCAGCAGGCCTAGGCTGCTGGTGAAGTTTTCCATGATCTTTGTGTTTCTTTGCGCCACTTTATATTTAATCATTAGTTATTATTAGGCTTTTGTGAAGGACTGTGGTTGTCCCCTCCCTAAGCCTGGTTCTGATTTCTTCCTGTTAAAAGGGAGTTTTTCCTCCCCACAGTTGTAGAGTGCTTTCTCACAGGAGGTCGTTTGATTGCTGGGGTTTTCATTGTATTAATAGAGCTGACTGTTTTTATGATTTGGTGCTATATGAAGAAAAAAATAATTATTTAACTGTTTGAACTATCATTTTAAGAAAAAAAACAGTAGCTCATTTTAAATTTAATGGCAGAAACATGCCAACTGCTTTGCAACTAGGTTTGTTAAAGCATGTATCCCATCCGTGTATGCCAATCAAGCAGTAGTGTAGAAAAGGTCACAATAGCAAGTCTTTTCCAAAAGGTGTGAAACATCCACAAATTGTATGGGTACAATGCACAGACACACATATCTACTAATTACTGATGAGTAACAATCTGAAAAAAAAAAAACACTTGGAATTCACAAACCAAAACTGAATCACAAACTTCTTGCATGGCTGGAAATTACCGAGGTTATGTTCAATTACTCCAGTTAGTGGAAATGAGATCTAACAGACCCTGAAGCTATAAAAACCTGTATCAGAGCAGTCAAAGCAAAAATGACCTAAAAGAAAATTAACTACCATACAAATGTTATAAAGGGGGAAACTATACATAGAAGTTAAAAGTTGGGCCTCTATCTTTAAGAGTCTGTAGGGACTGACTTGATTATGAAATCAGCTTCCCAGTTGGCTTCATTTGGTTTTTTAAATATATCATTGTACTTGATGAACTCTCACCTTTGTTCTTTGCTGAGGCAAAGCTTTGGTTGCACTTTCAGAACATAATATAGCAAAATTTCATTTTTTTTTTTTAATTGTACATCAGCCCTCCCCACTAAAAAGCATAAAAATAGATCTGAAACAAATAAACTAAACCAGCACCAGCAAAGAAATTTCTGTTAGGTCGAATATTTCTTTGTTGTAACAATGATTCTTGGCAATAAATCTTATGCTGTTGGAAAGCCTGTTTATTTCCCCTTAGATGATACAACATTAAACCCTTGACATTTCTCTGTCAATGCCAAACAGTTTATTTTGACATTGACTGCTGTTTGGTGTGATTTACTGGATTGGGTGATTGAAGTCTGAAGAAACAAATCAAATTATCCAAATCAGTCAAGGGTAGTATGTTTACAGCAGACACCAACTGAACACTATAGCCAGGTCCATGTTCACAGATGCCGCTATTTGTAGGTACACACCTGATTTCACCTGAAGTTCAAAACAAGCATCAGTAGCACAATAAGCTGTTTGGCGCTCACAGAGACAATTTGGTTGGTTTTTCAAGGGCACAACCCACATACTCAACTCTGCATTGTATTTTTCTTACAAATGTGGCAAAATTTAATGGAAAATAAATATGCTTATCAAACTATATAAGATTTATTGCTAAGAAGCATTGTTCCAACAAAGAAATAACCGGCCAAACATACGCTTCCTTACTTTTTATACAGTTTATACGCTGTATTTAAGCACTGGAAAGAAAATGACTACACAAAAGTACAATGCTTCTACATTTTGCAAAACAAGAATAAAGCAGTACAACTTATTACCACCTTAATTTGATGCCACTCCCTGTTATCACTCTCCTAATCATACTCTATTTCCTCAAATATTAATGAATGAAGGTTCAGCTCTTAGAAAGCTGAATCAGGTCACATTATGCAGATCTGAGCACGTCTCTCCGAAGACAAAAGAGCACATGGCTGAAACCACGGGGAACATGCAACTCATAAACAAGGTTAAAAGGGGTTAACAATTGGTGTGAAGTGTTCTTCGAGATAGATCCGTCGTTCATTATGCCTCATTTTTAAGCCAGTCAGTATCAGTTTTTATCTCCAAGGGTCATGTGGAAGAATGAATATACATTAAGAGCTTGTCCCAAATGTGCATGTAATTATAGGAACTTGTTGGGGCAACAGTACTTTTTTCCTTCCTAAACTTACATTAAATTGTCAAAGTATACAAGGTCTAACAGCATGGGAAGGGAGATGGAAAGAAGTGAATAATTAAACTTCCTTTTTAATGTTTAATCTTGGTGATTAATGTCAGTGGAAAAACCTATTTGGCCTTACACCCGAGGGGAATACTTATGAGCTTTGAGCTTGTAGTTATATGATTACATTTATGGGCATGGTGCTAATCTTAACGTGTGCGAAGCTTGAGGCACCAAGGTAGTGAAGAAGCACGAGAGGCTGAACAGTTCTTCAGCTTAACTGTGAACCCCTGCCAACTCCAGTTGCCCTGTGACCTCCACTATTGCCTATTTTCTTTAGTTTCTTACTATTATTTGTCAAAAATGAATGAAATGCTATAGTTCAGCACGTTCTCTCTCACTGAAGTGAAGAGTTCTCAACCTTTCCTTGAACTTTTCTCAGCACTTTACTTACCAGCCGTAGTCGTGAGGACATCCGTAGTGTTTCTGAGCCCCATGAAGTCAAACTGGTAAAGCCTCCAGTATTTCTGATCAGATGTCTCCACTGAGTTTCGCTTCCATTTGTACACAATCTCATCTCGTGGGTAGCCGTCTGGAAACCACATGGAGAATTTGGTGTAAATGAAAGAATATGAAAGGGAGAGAAAGGTAGAAATAAAAGTTGAAATAAAGAATACAGAAAAGATTGTTGCAACAATGCAGTTTTTATTTTATGCCTAAATTATATATGTTATATACAGCCAGTTTTTGTTAGTAGTTGAGTGGACTGCAGACCAACTGAACAACTTGTTTCCTTGAAATCTATTATGTACAACCATAGTGAACAAATCCTCTTGAATTATTTACTGTAGTTTTCATCTTAACCTCTTAAAGTAACATACATCCGATGGCAGTGTTGGGAAGGTTTTTTTTAAAATGTATTCCACTACAGATTACAGAATATATGCCCCAAAATGTATTTTGTAACGTATTCCGTTAGTAACGTATTCTGAATACTTTGGATTACCTATTATATTATCATGCTTTTTACAACTACATGAATGTGAATTATTACTTTTACTGAAGGTTACTCGCCATACCAATACCGACTAGATTTTTAAATCTTAATATAAAATGAGTAACAGTAGGGTGGACATTAGGTAAGGCTGCATTTTTTGCAGCGATCTCATATAGAAAACTGTTTCATGTGTATATAAAACAGGTCTGCGGCTCCGAACCGTAGTAAAGGGACCTCTGGCTAATACGTCGGGTTCTGTGTCGGGCTCGTAGCTGAAAACTAGCTTTAATTTGTTATCTGGGTCAGCTTTGCTAGCGAGAGACAGAGAGAGGCGTTGAAAGGCTGTTTCAACAGAACTTATTGTTTCGGAGAAAAACACAAAAAAACTGTACAGTCGAGTCTTAATAGCTTACTTACAACTGGGCTCATCAGGCACTCTTTTTGGCTGCAGTGGTTATTATTATATTTACATACTTCCATCTCCCGTTTCTGCTCGGTGACAACTCGTACTTTTCCACTCTCCTTTTTCTCCCTCCCTCGCTCACAGACACATAACGGGTATGGCAGTCCATTCTCCCTGCAGCACGGACTACACTGCCCATGAAGCTACATTCTTAGGGCGATGCTGTAACACTCTGCCTATTGCCTTCATATTAAATCATTTTTGTGAATAATTTTTTAAAATATTTCTTCACGTCATTATGCGGCCGCAAGTATATGGCGTTATTTTTGTGAATATTACAAAAATACATTTTTTTGCATGCAGCAATGAGTTTTGTTCACTCAAATTTAGCTTTTCTTTGCTCAAAATAAATTTCTCCTCATAACGCACCTGCAAATCTTTTTTTACGTGTGCTCAAATTTTTTTTACGTGCGCTCAGAATAGTGGCACAAAAATAATGCCATACAAGTAGGGGTGACATGGGTCGCGAGATTGAGATACAGGCATTAGAGCCTCTTAATGCGCGTTTTGTTTGGGGCATGGAAACCAAAAATAGAGAGGGCATAGCCGAACATATGAAACAGGAAAAAACCACCATGTAATCCCTTTATTTCAGCAAAGTAACTGTATTCTGAATACCACCTTTTTAAATGGTAACTGTAACGGAATACAGTTACGCATATTTTGTATTTTAAATACCTAACGGTGTTCTGACAAACCATCCTACTTTGGCAAAACGTCCTACCATAAGTAGTTTATGCACATTTCTGCTGTCACAGAGTAATTCCAGCACCAATTTAAGTAGGTATGACGGTTTGCCACTTAACTTTGCCCATTAAAGTATGCCTTTAGGTAACATTCACAAAGATAGCATGGTTTGGCACTTAATCTTACCCGTCAGAGTATGTTTCTAGCTCTTATTAAGAAAGGTAGGGTGATTTGCCACTTAATTTTAGCTGTTAAAGTATGCTTCTAGCTCAGATTAACAAAAGTAGGACGATTTGCCACTTAATTTTAGCTGTTTAAGTATGCTTGTAGGTGACATTCACAAAGGTAGGATGGTTTGGCAGTTAATTTAACCCATCAGAGTATTTTTCTAGCTAATATTCACAAAGGTAGGACAGTTCGCCACTTAATTTCGTGTTGTGCGCATGCGCAGAAACAACGGGTAGGATGGTTTGCCAGGTAGGATGGATTCCCAGAACAACAGCGGTACATGTAATCCATTACTCCCCAACACTGTCTGATGGCCAGTAAACGGTTTACTGGTAGGGCTAGGGTGTTGTTGAGTCTCATGCTAAACAACACAGTTCCAGAAAACAGAAGTCCTCTATCAAATCATCTCTCTAAGATGCAATTTGGGCATTATAAGATAGTCATTTGGGAATACCAAATAGGTAAAAATTACCTATTATGGGTGGAAATGAACCTAGCCCAAGCCTAACTCTACATGGGTCACAGGCAACCTAGCAGATGATGAGGTTAGCGCATGCTTTGAGTCACGAACCCGGTATTTTTTAGGGTACCAAACAAATTCCATTGTTATTATAATAGCGAGAAATTGATTCAAATTAAATAAGTTGCTGCCAAACTTTGCTATTGGAGCATATTTGGGTTGAGCTGCTGTTGCCTAAAGAGCAGTGCTGTTACGTTACAAGAAAAGAAAATTTGGTTACATTAGAAAACTTACTACTGTTGCAGCTCTTGTTTTGTTACAGCTGTTCACGCACCTATCGTGGCGTTGGCAGTATGGCTGTGTTTCTACAATAATTTCAATGATACATCCATACAGTGGCTCAGAGGTTTAGTGGTTCAGAGTTTGGTTATTTATTTATGTTTTTTCAAACTATTGAAAACATGTGACTTTCTGAAGAAAACTTTAAAAAGAAGGTTTTTTATTTCCTGTTTAAATTCTACTACTTATACCGGCACTGATGTGGAGGTTTTGAATTTGTGGGGACACTAGTCGTTCAAGAGAATGCTAAAGTGAGTCTGCCTCTCAGAAAGTGTTTTTTGGGGGAAGTGTTTTCCAAAATGCAAACTGTCCAAGTGAATACATTTTATAATCTAAGGGAAACACCTTGTCCAAAGAAAAATGTTTTATATTGTGAGTTGTTTAAAATAATTAAGAAGTGCGGCATTATTTTGTTAGAGACCATTATAAATTCTGTTCTATGCCCTCACCAATAGGTGGCCAGCAGTCTGGATCTGGACCCAGACACCATTCTTTATGTAGCCACACATCTTACTAGATTTTGACTGACTGTTTCTATCTATTAGTTTTCTTTCAAAACTCAAAAGAGGCAACTGGGGACCTGGTACATGTTAAAGGGTAATGGTAAAAAGACAGCCTCTAGGCTACTTTTAAAGAAAAAGATAATAGAAGTGGCTTGCCTTTTTCTTAATAAAAATCGATTTTTCTTTTAATGTAGCGTGTTGTCAGATATGTGTTTCTGTTACAAGCCCATTGTTCCACTTCAGTGACATGTAAAAGTGATTTTTCCATGGAGTGCTTACAAGGAGAATGGCCTGCTCAAAAGGCTTTAAAGCTGGAGCCACTATGTTCTGTACTAATTCTGGAGATGTTCAACCTTAAAATGGCACAGTTTCACATGCAGGGTATTGCTCGGGGGTAGACATTAGACACAAGCACTAGCAAGCACATTGGGAATTGAATTTTCTTGAAAGCTAATACATCAACAACACTGGTGTCTCCTTGTAAGTAAAAGAAAAAAAGCTGAGCTCAATTGACAAGTTGAACCAGTTTGACATGCAAAAATGAGTGACAGCAGTAATGAGCAAGTGGCAAGGCTTGTCGTGCCCTGTACTGGCAACCAGACTAATTATGTAAATGGTCTAATTTAGAGGATAGCCATCTATAACCAAGAGGAGCAATCACCATGATGCAAGAGGGATGTAGTTGGCAAATATTATTGCCATCATATTTCTCTTGGTGTGTGTTTTACAGTTATCTTTTCTGCAGACAGTATTACCATTGTGTTGCCAGTGTATCTCCATAGCTACAAGAGCCTTCATGCTTTTAAAAGCCCCCTGAAGCCACATGTTCTTTCACAATCTTATAAATTACAGCTGTCTCTGGCCTTGATTCTAATATTCTCCCTTCCAACTCTCCAAACAAAGAAGACAAGAGAGGCCTTCTTCTGCCACATCCCTCTAAACAAAGCCAGTTAATTAAATTTGATTTCTTCTAGCTTTTTTATATAATGCAAGCTAATAGAAGACATTCCTCTTTTTCAACAAGCCCGTGGTCCTGAATCACAACCACTTAAAGGATTAAGAAGTTCAGTATACACATATATACATATAAATAGACTAAGTTATTTTAAGAAGAAAGGACTTTCTGTCCAAAAGTAAGAGTTTACTGTGCTTAGTAACGATTAGCTGACTGAAAAAGTGAAGGAAAAGAAAAGAAAGAGCCTGCAAGCACATTGTACAGAAGGTCAGTCGAGGTTCATTTCCAGCGTCAGCTGCTTTGGGAATATGCTTAAACTCTAAGCACTGGATTGCATCCCTTGTTCGTCACAGTGACACCCAAAGGTTTGACATTTTAGATGAGCTTTTCAAAATGAAAACAAGAACACAAAACCTGAGCGACATGAATGCTCAGCCACGACTGAACATGAACCTTTGTGGGGGTTTCAAGTACTGTAAAAACCCCTGTGGCAGCCATGATGGAGGTCTTGTGCTTTCTTTTTTTGAGCATGATGGAGTGAGGACTGCTGATTGCATCTTTTAATGCATGACTAGTCTGTTTCAACAGCACTGAGATACACTGATGTTTCTTGATTGTTACACACTAGCAGGACAGCTTTAGGGATGGCAATGTCAGTTTGTTGGTCAGTGAAGGTCCTACACCCCTTGTCAGGACTGAAATATCTCGAAAAAACTGGAACCCAGAGGATAAATGCTTTGGAATTTGGAAAGTTTCTTGACTTTATATGTAACACCACTGTCAGATTGACACTTTTTGGCTTTTACCAAAATATCTGAACAATTAGTGGATGAAATACTCGAGCCAAGAGGAATTCACAGCTCTTCTCCCATGCCAATGTAAGTTCAACATTTTATGGAATCAAAGGGTTCTGTTAGAAGTGAAGCATGCAATCATTGTCCACAGAATCAAAATGATTTG